TATCTATAGTACAATTTACATGACCTAATAAAGTCTAGCCCAATTTGAACTTGAGCATGGAACGTGAAGCTCGGTTGAACTTGAACAAGTCCCAAGCTGAATTCAAGGTCAACTCAATCTAAACTATATACATCACTGATAACCAACAGCATATTCCAAAGGATCAAGCAAGGTAAAGCAGTGAATAATGCTCTAATTTAATTAAGGAGCTGTTTAGTTGAAGCATTTCATTAAGTTGCACTTGTATCTAGCTACTTCAATAATGTTAAATTATCCTTAGATCATCTACCTATATTTGAATATTTTGAACATTAGGAAACCTACCACTCCATTTTTAATGTTCCTTGCCAATATACTTTATGTCCTTATTAAGAATTCCATCATGCGTGCTAAAGAAGTTAAATGCTATTATGACGGGTTTCTTATTAAGGTCAAGTGATAGGAAAAGTGTCCATTGGGTAAAGTGGGATTCGGTGTGTAGACCAAAGGAAATGGGTGGTTTGAGAATAGTAAATTTGGAGATTATGAATAGAGCTCTTTTGGGGAAGTGGTTGTGAAAATTCGTTTCTGAGAAAGAGTCATTGAGGAAAAGGGTTATTTGCAATGTCAATAATCTTGATCTGAAGTCCTTTGCTATCGATAAATTGGTTTCCTCTAGAGCTTCTTGGATATGGAAAGGGATAGTTAAGAGTTGTTATGCATGTGATAATTTTGGTGCTTGTTTTAAAGGAAATATTAGCATGAGGGTAGGCAATGGTGAATCGTTTTTGTTATGGCATGACGCGTAGTTAGATGGTGTACCTTCGAAAAATCGATTTCCAAGATTGTTTATCCTTTCAACTAACAAAGAAGGGAGAATTACTGTGTAACACCCTAACCCGTACCCGACTCGGATACGAATCCGAGGTGTCACATTGACTATTCAAAACGTGTACATTTATAAAATTACAGAAAATTTAAACTTTCATTAACATAAAGTTAATATTTTACATAAGTATGTTCCAAAACATTACAAAATCGATCAGAGCATACGTACTTCACGACTTGTTTACATGCCAACATATATATAAAAAAACATACTGTGCAAAGTACGTCTGATATGATCTTCGAGTGGATGTATGTTGTCTTGCGGATCCTAAGCCAGACCCTCTTGATTCTCAGTACCTTCGTGTAAAAATGCTTACACGCTAAGTCATAGACTTAGTGAGGCATAAAAAAATATAACAATGCATTTTCCTATGATTATGAACATGCAATCTGATTATCCAAATACAATCATACTTATTAGATCATAATTCAATCATATCATATATGATTCAGGGTAAACAATAATAACATGATAGCATATAATCATGTAAATACTTTTTATATCTTTTATAAACCCATGTACATTACTGAGAACTTAAGATATACGAGTACTTTGAGGTTGTGCACGTATGCTGTCACCACAGCTCGTATAAAAATCCACTGAGTGGCATGTGAAATTTATGTCCCGAAGGACCTATGCATATGTCCTGAAGAACCTATGTAACCCTCGACTCTTGGCATGCCAACTATACCTATAGCTCTTATATCACATAACATGGGCATTATTATTATGTTTCATATATTCATGTATTCATATCATTTCTCTTATACTCACATATGTCGTTTTCTTCTATCACATATCACATATATGTATAATCATCAATCTCACATCATATAATATAGGTTATTTGAGTATGTTCACATGAATCATATCACATGTATTAAATTATATAAACATGTCTATAACTTATGCCTTTGTTTATAATGAACATAATATGTATGCATGTTCATAACTATTGGACTATGAAAAATTACATAGGAAATAAACATATCACAAGTCTTATTTCCCTTGAATTGAACCTAGAGTATGCACTCACCTTAGCCTCACTTGATCTCAATCACTTCAATGACTTAATTTCTCTTTCTTGATTGTTCTTAACTTTTCAATCATTCCGGAACTTGCTTGAGCTCTATATCTACACAATCATACATTTCATATACATATCAGCATTCGAAATAGTATGATTCAATCCTTAATTCTTAGTCTAAAAGAATTGCTTAATTTAATTTTCTACTTGGAGTAGTATCCGTACCCTCTATAGGGTATCGGTACCCCCTATAGGGTATCGATACTTCCCAGCCGTGGTATCGATACCAAGCCTAGGTATCAATACCCAAATTCGATTATGGAATCCTTGTTTCAAGAATGGTACCGGTACTTGACTTATGGTATAGGTACCCTTGGTATCGATACTACCCTTTAGGTATCGACACCCCATAAATAACTTATCAAATTCGGGCTTATGGTATCGATACTGTTCAACTGATATCGATACCCCTACTCCAAATTGCCTTCTTTTACCCTTGAAGTATCGGTACATAATGAAGAAAAATCGATACTCATAGCCCAAAATTCACTTTTAAAGCTCGAAAATTTACCAATACCAATCTAAACCTTCCATTTAAAGCTCCTATCACGCTCTTAAACTCAAGTACACATACTTAAATAAATTCATATTCATATAACACATCCTTATCTTCCATATTTCATCATATGTCTTGAAATCAAGAATCCTATCAATTTTCCAACATGTTCTAATTTCAATTCTAGCACTTCATATTTCTTAATTTAGTTGATGACAAGTCAAATTTAGTTTCAAACTCAACTTACTAACTCTTATCCAAGATTTCACTTACAAACCCCTTATATTTAATCCTTCTTAACTCATTTGTCTTTTAATTTTAAGATAACTTAAGCTTTCTTTAAGATCAAGTATCATATAAGGAACAAAACCCAATCTTAAATTCTATACAAAATCAACTAACAAGAAACTCACCTTGCTTTTAGATGACTCACGGCTGAAAGAGGGAAGAAGGATGAAGAGAACTCTGGAAAATTTTCTTTTTCCTTCATCCTTTCATTCCACGTGTATATATATCCACCATATCACATATTTAATTCATTAGTTCATCAAATGACCCTTTTTCCCTTCCATTCATCCTTATTTACTATTTAGTCTTACACAAAGTTTTCATATAAGTCCCTGAACTTTTCAATTTATCTACTTTAAATCACTAAATTTTGAAGTTTAACAATTTGGTCACTAACCCGATATTGAGGATGTTACAAATCTCCCCCTAAGAAAATTCATCCTCGAATTTTCACTATACAAAGAGATGGGGGTACTGATTCCTCATGTCCTCTTAACGCTCCCACTTAGCTTCCTCTAACTTATGATTCCTCCACAATACTTTGACCATTGGAATAGTCTTGTTCCTTAGTTGTTTCACCTCGTGAGCTAATTATTTGGACCGGTTTTTCCTCGAAAGTCAGGTCAGGCTAAACCTCTATCTCCTCTGGTGTCACAATATGGGAGGGATCAGATCTATATCTCCGAAGCATTGAAACATAAAAAACGTTATGAATCTTCTCCATTTCAGATGGCAAAGCCAATTGATATGTCACTGGTCCCACTCTCTTAACGATCTCATAAGGTCCAATTAATCGAGAACTAAGCTTTCCCTTTCATCCAAACCTCAACACTTTCTTCCACGGAGACACTTTTAGGAATACTTGATCTTCAATCTGAAACTCAATTTCTTTTCTCTTCAGATCAACATATGATTTCTGTCTATCAGCTGTCGCTTTCAGATTATTCTTAATCACTTGAACTTTCTCCTTCATTTCCTGAATCAACTCAAGACCAAGAACTTCTTGATCTTTAAGTTTGTACCAGTTCAAGGGTGTACGCCATTTCATTCCATAGAGAGCCTCATAAAGAGCCATATTGATACTTGACTGGTAGCTATTGATGTAAGCAAATTCGACAAGTGGCAAGTATTTTTCGTACGATCCTTTGAACTCTATAAAACAGGCTCTCAACATATCCTCTAGAATTTGGATAGTCCGCTCGAATTGTCCATCGGTCTGAGGATGAAACGCTGTGCTAATGTTCAATCAAGTTCCTAACGCTCCATGTAAAGTCTTCCAAAACCTCGATGTGAATCTAGGATATCCATCAGAAACAATTGAAATCGGTACACCATGTAATCTGATAATCTCCCTGATGTACAATTCAACATACTAATCCATGGAGAAATCAGTTCTTACTGGAATGAAATAAGCCGATTTAGTCAATCTATCCACTATTACCCAAATTGAATCTCTTTTATTTGGAGTCAATGGTAACCCTGTCAGAAAATCCATCGTCACATTCTCCCACTTCCATTGAGGAATAGACATTGGTTGCAGTAGGCCAGATGAAACCTGATGCTCAGCTTTGACTTGCTGATAAGTCAAACACTTGGACACAAATTTCGTAATACTTTTTTTTTCATTCTTGGCCACCAATATCAACTCTTGAGATCCATATACATCTTATTTCCACCTAGGTGAATCATCAATGGACTATAGTGAGCTTCTGTTAATAGTTCCTTTTTCAATTCATCATCATCGGAATCACTAATCTCTCTCAGTAATATAGAGTCCCATCAGCTTTAATTTCATAATCAATAAGCTCTCCATTCTTTACTTGTTGTAACCTATTCAAACACTTTTCATCTTTGAAATTCCTTAATTCTATCTAGCCATGTTGGCTTAAGAGTCAATTCCACACATATTTCACCATCTCCTTCCAAGGACAACCTGACATCTATAGCTCGTAAGAGTGCAAACATCTTCTGACTTAAAGCATCCGCCACCACATTTGCTTTTCGAGGGTGGAAATCGATTACCACATCATAGTCTTTTAGAAATTCCACCTATCTCATTTGTCTTAAATTCAACTCTTTCTGGGTCATGATATACTTCAAGCTCTTATGATCGATACATAAATAGCAACGTTCACCATATAGGTAGTGACACCAAAATCTTCTTCAACGTTTCAAAACTTCATTGACATTCAGAAGTCCAAACAAATGCCACATCTTTCCTCATCAACTTAGTTAAAGGTAAAGCTATCATCGAAAAGTTCTTAACGAATCTTCAATAATAACCTGCAAGTCCAGAAAACTTTAAACTTCAGATACATTCTTTGTAACCTCCCATTCTAGAATGACTTTTATCTTCTGAGGATCAAACCAAATTCTTTCAGCATAAATTACATGTCCAAGGAATGTCACTTCATTCAACCAAAACTCATATTTCGATAGTTTGGCATATAACTTCTTATCTCTTAGAATCTGCAAAACTATCCTAAAGTGAGTACTATGTTCTTCATTCGTTTTCGAATACACTAATATGTCATAGATGAAAATAACTATGAATTGATCCAGATAAGGTTGAAATATTCTATTCATCAGGTCCATAAAGGCAGCCGATGCATTCGTAACTCTAAAAGGCATCTCAATGAACTCATAGTGACCATACTTTGTTCTAAATGATATATTTGGAATATCTTTCTCCTGAATCTTCAACTGGTGATATCCAGATCTCAAATTGATCTTAGAGAAAACTGAAGCCCCTTTCAACTGATCAAATAAATCATCAATTCTAGGAAGATGGTATTTATTCTTGATAGTCACCTTGTTGAGCTCCCTATAGTCAATGCAGAGACGTATTGACCCATCATTCTTTCTAACGAACAACACTGGAGCTCCCCAGGATGATACATTTGATTTAATGAATCCTTTATCCAACAATTCCTGTAACTGAATTTTTAGCTCATGCAACTCTTTTGGAGCCATTCTGTATGGTTCCATTGCAATCGGTGTAGTTCCAGGCATTATCTTAATCTGAAATTCCACCTCTCTATCGGGAGGTAACCCTGTCAACTCTTCAGGAAAGACATCGGGAAATTCTCTGACTATAGGAATTTATTTTAACTTTTTCTCCTTAATTCTAGTATTCAGTACATTGGCCATAAAACCCTGACATCCTTGTAGTAACAAATTCTTTACTGACATCACTGATATAACATTTGCCAATGAATTCCATCTTTCACTGAATACTATTACTTCTAATCCATATGAACTGATTAATGTTACTCTATTCAGTCTACAATCAACATTTGCATGATAGCGATATAACCAGTCCATTCCTAGTATCACCTCGAATTCATCAAAGGGTAATTCCATCAGATTAACAGGGAATTCAATTCCCTGAATCCGTATGGGACACCCTCGACACACTCTATTTACCCGAGCACTGTGCCCCAATGGATTTGTTACTATCATATCATTACTAGTTGTTTCTAATTGAATTCCCAATTCTCTCACCAATTTACTACTAATATATGAATATGTAGGCCCCAGATCAATCAATACCATAACATATTTATCATACAGTAGAAAAGTACCTACAATTATTTCTGGATCATCACAATCTTCATTAGTCTTGAGGTTATACACTCGAGCAGTGGAGCGTACTTTCTGTTGAGTAAAGGACTCGGACTAACTTCTTTCTCTACCTCTATCTCTACCTCGTCCTCTCTGAGACATCGAAGCAGATCGCTCCGACTGTGCATGCTTTCCAGTCCTCAATGGACAATCTCTCATGAAATGTCCTGTCTCTCTACATCGAAAACAAGCTCCTGATTTAACTCTACATATACCGCTATGGTATCCACAAGGTTGACATTGTCTCTGTTATGCTCTCCCATCACCATACCCTACTGATTGAGTCTGTCTAGCTCTCATCTGATTTGATCCTTTAACAGAGGATGCCACCGATTTAGACCTCGCCTACGATCGAAAACCAGAATCTCTACCTCTTTTGGGTGGTGCAGAACTTGATGAAGCCCCAATTCTTTTAGAAGATTGGGATCTTTGTTCCCAAAACCGTTCATTCTGAGCTCTCTTGTAACGTCTTCCATACCGGGTTAGTGATCAAATTGTGAAATTTTAAAATTTAGTGACCAAAGCAGATAAATTGAATGGGTGAAAGATTTAATAGGAATGTTTCATGTAGGATGGATAAGCAAAGAAGGGAAATTAAGAGGGCAAATGAGTCTTTTAGTAAGAGAAATAATTAAATATTCCTTAAGGTTATTTTATAAACCACGTAGAAAGCATTTGAGAGAAAACAAGGTTCCGGATATTTCTCTCTTCTTCTTCTCCAACCGTGAAGTTTGCAAGAAAAGGTGATTTGTCTTCTTTTGGATTAATTCTTATGAGTTAAGCATGGTTTTGGTTAATGAAGATTTAGGAAAGACGATGAAGAGAAACAAGGACTTAGAAACTCAAAGAATTCTAAGTTAAGGGAGATTAAAGGTTGGGAGCCATTAAATGAAATCTTGGATTAAAGGTCATAATAAGAATTAGAAGTTGGATTTGACTTGTCATCAAGCTAATTAAGAAGTATGAGGTGATAGAATTAAAATTAGAACAAGTTGGAATTTGAGTAAGATTCTTAAATTCTATATGGAGGATTGGTTTTTTTAAGTTTTAGAGGTATTGAATGAATAATTATTAGTTTAAGTAAGAGTATGAAAGTTAGGAATATTAAAGGGAGTAAAATAGGAAGGTTTGAGCTGAAAATGAGATGATTTTCGAGCTCAAAATAGGATTTTCGGGCTAGGGGAATCGATACCCATTCAAGGGGAATCGATACCCCCTCAAACGAATATGAAATTCCAGAATGCCAGAGGGGAATCGATACCCCACAGTAGGGAACCGATTCCCCCTAAAGAAAAAAATAAAAATCAATTCCTTAATTTTGTTTAGGCTATTAGAAGTTAATTTCAAGACTTAGGCATCTGATAATCATATTGAAAATTATGTTTATGTAGATATTGAGCCTAATCGAGTTCTGGAACAATCGACAAGTAAGATCGATCGAGGAAAAAGCAAGGAAATATAGGTGAGTGCATATGCATAGCATGAATATAGTATTATATTCAGTTCTAGACTTGTGATAAGTCTAGATTCAATATTTGATACATGATCACATTCCATATTATGATACTTGACATGAATTCATATTATATGTATTATGTGACATGAATATGCAGGAAAAGTTATATGAATTATGTGATAAAGGTATGGAAAATGAAACGTTTATGTGATAAAGGTATGGAAATGATATGTCTATGCGATATAAATTATGTGAATTGTAAAAGGCCATGTTCTGTAGATGAGAACTATAGGTATAGTTGGCATGCCAAGGGTAGAGGGTCTACGCGGTCATTCGGGATATATATATATTCTTTGGAACATTTGTGAGGTCTTTTGAGACACATAATTGATCCTTGGCATATGTATATGATTCATAAGGAATTTATATGTGGTCATTCGGGACAAATTCTACGCCATCCTTCGGGACAAATTTCTACGTGGCACTTCGGTGCAAAAACTCTACGCGGCACTTCGGTGCAATTTATACGAGCTGTGGTGACAGCATAGTTCACAACCTCGCAATACTCACGTACCTTTGGTTCTCAATATGGTATCATGGGCCAATAAACTTATTAATACAAATTCGTGAATGCTAATGTAATACTCTTACAGGTAAGGATCATGGTGTTATAAACTACATTGATTAAGTATACGATTTCATCTCATTTCATATCATTATGGCATTTTCATTACAGTTCCTTTCTATTATTATTACATTGCCTCACTAAGTCGATGACTTAGCGTGTGAGTGTTTCACGCGTAGGATCCGAGAAAGTAGAAGATACAGGTTAAGCAACTAACAACATTACTCTTGCAACTATCAGATCAGAAGCAACCTAATCAGTAGGTCATTTTGTTATGTAAATGGGTGTTGGCATGTAACTAAAGGGTTAAGTTGTGTATGCTCTGAGTATTTTGGTAAACTTGTATTAATATATGTAATATTATCGTATTTTCTTAATATAATTTTAAGTATTTTGTTATTATTTGTTAAGAGTAATGTTTTAAAAAGGTAATGTGACATCTCGGACTCGTATCTGAGTCGGGTACGGGTTAGGGGTGTTATATCTCTCTAGAGCTTTAGTACGATTTACTACCTCTTGAAACGAGGACAAGTTCAACATTATGAACAAATCCTTTAACCTTGGGCGCAAGCCCTCAATAAACCACTCGTATGCTTCTTTCTCTGTCGGAATCAACTCAGCCGCAAAATGACTTAACTTATTAAACTCGCACTCATATTTATACACAGTGCGGTTCCATTTCTTCAGATTAAAAAATTATTGCTTAATCTGCTTGATGAACTGATCTCATATATACTTGTGCTTAAACTCATCTAGGAACACAGACCATGTCACCTGATCACTAGTCATCCTCATAGTGACATTCGTCCACCAAATTCTCGCTTGCCCACGAAGCAAGGAAACCACTCAGTCTAACTTTTCCACATCAAAATAGTGGAGTCCATCTAACATGATATTCACATCATTGAGCCAAAGGTCCGCAACAACAGGACCTTCCTCAGCTTCACATTTGAATTCAGGAGCTCTTAATCCCTTTAACTCCTTTGCTACATTCATTCTCTGAGTAGAGAGAGTAGGAGGTTGGAAACGCGTTAGGATGACGGCCAACGTCCTGAAGAAAACGTCTTGGTCTTGTACAGGCACTCCATAAGGTGTCTGTCATTCACCTTGCCTGGCCAAGGTAGGTCTCAGCTGGCTTACCATCTCCCGCTTCACTTCGAGAACTATCTTGTCCAGACATCTAATAAGATATAACCATATAGTTCTATTAGCAAAACAACATACGTATTACTCTTATCAGATTAGAAGTTCTTACTCATATGTTGGCATGAGCATATTTAAAAACACTCTAGACTCTGATTTATACCTAGAATCAGCTAAACCATAGCTTTGATACCATTAAATGTAACACCCCAACTCGTACATGACCCGGATACGAATCTGAGGTGTCACATTGACTATTCAAAATGTGTACATTTATAAAATTACAGAAAATTTAAACTTTCATTAACATAAAGTTAATATTTTACATAAGTATGTTCCAAAACATTACAAAATCGATCAGAGCATACGTACTTCACGACTTGTTTACATGCTAACATATATATAAGAAAAACATACTGTACAAAGTACTTCTGATCTGATCTTCGAGTGGATGTATGTTGTCTTGCGAATCCTAAGCCTGATCCTCTTGCTTCTCAGTACCTTCGTATAAAAATGCTTACACGCTAAGTCATAGACTTAGTGATGCATAAAAAAATATAACAATGCCATTTTCCTATGAATATGAACATGCAATTTGATTATCCAAATACAATCATACTTATTATATCATAATTTAATCATATCATATATGATTCAGGGTAAACAATAATAACATGATAGCATATAATCATGTAAATATTTTTTATATCTTTTATAAACCCATGTACATTACTGAGAACTTAAGGTATGCAATTACTTTAAGGTTGTGCACGTATGCTGTCACCACAGCTCGTATAAGAATCCACTGAGTGGCATGTGAAATCTATGTCCCGAAAGACCTATTTAACCATCGACTATTGGCATGCCAACTATACCTATAGCTCTCATATCACATACCATAACATTATCATTATGCTTCATATATTCATGTATTCATATCATTTCTCTTATACTGGCATATGTCATTTTCTTCTATCAAATATAACATATACGTAAAATCATCAATCTCACATCATATAACATATGTTATTTGAGTATGTTCACATGAATCATATCACATGTATTAAATTATATAAACATATCTATAACTTATGTATGTGTTTATAATGAACATAATATGTATGCATGTTCATAGTTATTGGACTATGAAAAATTACATAGGAAATAAACTTATTACAAGTCTTATTTCCCTTGAATTGCACCTAGAGTATGCACTCACCTTAGCCTCACTTGATCTCAATCACTTCAATGACTTAATTTCTCTTTCTTGATCGTTCCTAACTTTTCGATCGTTTCGAAACTTGCTTGAGCTCAATATCTACACAATCATACATTTCGTTTACATATCAGCATTCGAAATATTATGATTCAATCCTTAATTTCTTAGTCGAAAAGAAAGGCTTAATTTAATTTTCTACTTGTAGTAGTAACGGTACCCCCTATAGGGTATCGATACTTCCCTAGCTGTGGTATTGATACCAAGCCTAAGTATGGATACCCAAATTTGATTATGGAATCCTTGTTTCAAGAATGGTACCGGTACTTAACTTATGGTATCGGTACCCTTGGTATCGATACTACCCTTTAGGTATCGATACCCCATAAATAACTTATCAAATTATGGCTTATGTTATCAATATTGTTCAACCAATATCGATACCCCTACTCCAAATTGCCTTATTTTACCCTTGAAGTATCGATTCTTAATAAAGAAGTACCGATACTCATAGCCCATAATTCACTTGTAAAGCTCGAAAATTTACCATTACCAATCTAAACCTTCTATTTAAAGCTCCTAACATGCTCTTAAATCAAGTACACATACTTAAATCAATTCTTATTCATATAACACATCTGTATATTCCATATTTCATCCTATGTCTTGAAATCAAGAATCCTATCAATTTTCCAACATGTTTTAATTTCAATTATAACACTTCATATTTCTTAATTTATTTGATGACAAGTCAAGTTTAGTTTCAAACTTAACTAACTCTTATCCAAGATTTCACTTACAAACCCCTTATCTTTAATCCTTCCTAACTCCTCTGTCTTTTGATTTTAAGATGACTTAAGCTTTCTTTAAGCTTAATTATCATCTAAGGAACAAAACCCAATCTTAAATTCTATACAAAATCAACCAAAAAGAAACTCACCTTGCTTTTATATGACTCACGGCTGAAAGAGGGAAGAAGGATGAAGAGAACTCTGGAAATTTTCTTTTTCCTTCATCCTTTTATTCCACGTGTATATATCTCCACTATATGACATATTTAATTCATTAGTTCATCAAATGACCCTTTTTCCCTTCCATTCATCCTTCTCTACTATTTAGTCCTACACAAAATTTTCATATAAGTCCCTGAACTTTTCAATTTATCTACTTTAAATAACTAAATTCTGAAGTTTAACAATTTGGTCACTAACCCGGTATTGAGGATGTTACATGCTGACTTTAGGATAAGGAGCTCTTCTAGGTGGAGTTGGGATATTCAGTTGAGGAGGAACTTGGCGGATTGGGAGATGAAGTTGTTGCTCCAATTGTATACGTTGTTAGGCAATTTTTAATCTCCAGAGTTCATTGATGTTAGTTATGTTTAGTTTGGACAGGGTGTTGATTGTTTCTCGGTGAAATCGTGGATGAAGCTATTGATGAATAGGTCTAAAGTAAATCCTTTGTGGTCAAATTTTATGTGACTTGGGGCTGCCCCTCCGCGAGTGGTGTCCTTCGTGTGGCAAGTGGTTTATAAAAAGGTGGCAGTCAAAGTCGAGTTAGTTAAGCATGATGTATTGGGGATTGAGGATCAGTCGCGTCTCTTGTGTGGAGATTACATAGAATATGTTTCTCATCTTTTTGTTTCTGCTTCGTCTCTTGGGGTCTTTGATCGAGTTTCATGAGCATGTGGAACATCTCTTTCGTTGTTCTAGAGAGCTCGCCTGATCCACTCTCGGCTTGGTTTGGGTTGGTCCCAAAGTCAGTCATTTGGACTTTTATCCCTGGAGCAATTTTGTGGTCAGTGTGGAAGCAAAGAAACGAAATTGTTTTTAACAATGTGAATCTTGATCGAGTTCAACTATTCTTCTTGGTCAGATAAAGAGTGGCAACATGGTTTTCTTCAAAATTTCAAAATCATTCGGTCATTTTCAATAATTTAGTGGGCAATCTTACGTTAGCATATTCTTACCATTGCTCAAACAAGGTTAATTTTGTCTAAGAAGGTTGGTGTCCTCATTCGTCAGGTTTTTTTAAGGTTAACGTGGATGGTGCTATGGATAGTTTTTGGCAAAAGGGTGACATAGGGGGTTTACTTCGGGACGAGAAGGGTGTCATATTGGATTCGTTTTCTGAGAAAGTTGGATCGGGTCCTCCAATTCTGGCAGAACTGTTGGCTATTAAGAGGGGACTGTAGCTTTTTTTGGATTCAGAGTGGGCTTAAAGGGGAAGACTGATTTTAGAATCATATTGTTTAGTTGCTTTAGATTGGATTAATAATCCAACTTCTTGTACTCCTTTGTTTAAAACAGTGGTGAATGACATTGCTAATATTATGTTAAGCAGGGGTGTGGTAATTAGGCATATAAAGAGAGTTGCAAATTGTAAGGCATATGAGTTTGCTAAATTGCGAATTGGTTAGGTTAGACGAGGGGGCTTAATGTAGGGATTGGTTAGGAGCAATATACTGGGTTGTTTTCTTGTTCGGTGATAGTTGTTGTGTGGTTGTAATTGGTCTTATGTACTTTTGTTGTATCTAGTTTTTAGTAATAAAATTATTGGCACTCTTTACCTCCATCCTATGTCCGCTGAGCTACCTGTAGCATGGCAGTTATGAAGGGGTTTTAACTAAGGGTGAGCAAAAGAACGGGGAACCCTTTTTCGAAACCAAAATCAATCCCAATGGTTTTGGGTAGCAAAATAAGGGTCCTGTTGACATCAGTTCCGGTTCCCAAAATTTTGGAATTGGAATTGGAATCGATTGGGTACCCGGCTAAAAGCAGTTCCAAGTTTGAGAATGGAGTCAGTAGAGCATCAAGGGCATCACCGCATCAAAGTTGAGAATGGAGCAAAAATTGCGTTGGAATTGCAAATATTGTGTAATATATTTTAGTTGTAAACGTACTTGGTTTGAACTTTTTGGACTTTATGCGTTTTGTGACCTATACTTTTGAATTTGAATTAAACTTGTTGTAATTGATTTCTAACTTTGCGTTTTCGTAATATGTACTTTGGGTTAATGTTTTTATTACTATTTAAGTATGAAATGGTGGATAAATTTTGTATAGAAAAGAGTTCTACTTGTGATAAGTAGTAGCATTTTAGTTTAATAAATTAACAGGTTATAAAAGGGCCAATTTTAACATGGAGGCAACATACCATCCCACTTAATGTGTAACAATTGACAGGTTGAATGAGAAAGCTATCAAAATAACAGGATACCCGGAACCGATACCGGTACCTACAGGTTCCGGTTCCGGATCCCAATTTTTAGGAACCAGTGCAACAGGTTCCGGTTCCTGTTCCCAAAAAAATAAGCGGGTACCCGGTGTTGCTCATCCCTAGTTTTAACGAGGCCATCTTTTCTATCCAAAAAAAAGTCCAATGAAAACCTAAAATTAGGTGCTTCATATCAGTTAAAAGACCATATACTATAGATGATAAATAATGTTCCACATTCTTGTATAATCTTTAGGTTCAGCTTAATTTTATACAATATCTCAAACTAACCTGTAAACAGTTTTTCTCTCATCTCTCCCCCTAAATGCAGCTACAAATCCCAAACAAAATGCATCCGCACACACAAAATATTGTTAACAATTAAACTGAATCACATTACAGCCAAAAGTACCGAGAAAATAAAAGAATTCAGCAATTGCAGTTTTGTTAAATGAAGCACAACAATCTTTTACCAAAGCTTTCTTTGACATGCTGCAGGCAGGCAAAGGGGCACTTGTAACATCATATGCAATTATATATCCATGATAATCATTCAAAAGATAAAAGAACTACAATTACATATATTTCTTTATCTTTCTGAAGCTAGCTTTATCAAGACATAGGTTGACACTATTTAACTTGAGCACATCATGATTAAAATAGGAGGTAATTGTTACCACCAAGATTGTTGCTCCCCGATAGTATCAGCAATTACAAACGTCAAGGAATTGCATCAATTCATTCTTTTCCCTTTGTATACTTTACAAAGATTTTAAAGTCCAAAAACAGGAAAGTGGTCTAGACTGTAAAATATCCAATCATACAGAGGCTTATCAATAGAATAGATAAGCTTCCAGAAACAAACGCATAATAGCATGCTGAAAAATATTTAGGAAATTACCACATCAACTAATCTGAACTTTCATCATCATCAGATGATGTTCTGCAGAAATTCCCAAAGTACTGGAAGCATGATATTTGACTTCTGTTTGAGATGTGAGATCTCTTCTGCCTGGGCATTAAGCCTTGACTAGACAGAGAATCAAACAAGACCCCCATATCCATTTTCTTCTTCGAACTTTTATATTCATCTCGAAAACTACAAAATCATACAAAGCAAAGTCAGCAAAGTAGTTATGATTAACCCCACCTCAACTCCTCTTTTTTCCCACCCTTTTTTAGGGGCAAATTCAGGGGAGTATATCAGAAATTGCAGAAGAATTAAACTGGTTGACAGGGAAGGAGCCCCTCTCCTAACTATAAATACATGCTATGTTGTTACGACCCCCACGTCCAACACATTTACAGACTTGGTTACCAGGATATAACCCTCCAATGATAATCCAAAAATAAGGATAATTGAATATCCTCATTTTAGAGTGATTTGGACATATAATCATGTCCAAAGCTCGCACCCAAATCCAAGTAACATATAATCCAGATAAACTATAGAAAATGAGTAACTCAAGGTGTTATATCAGAGAATAGACTGGTAAAATGGAAGGGACCCATACCGTTCTCGAATAATACTAAAGGCTTCCTTTGTTGCGTAGCATAGCCCTGTCTTTGGATCTTTGTACCTACAACATCAAATAACAATTTGAATAAACATGGTTGGATGGAAAAAGCCGAATTTGTCTCTCTTAAAATGTTAAGCATCACTGAATTAACATATATACTAAATATTTAACATGGCTTAGCAAAAACTTTGATGAAACTCCCAGCTGAAGAGAAGCATATCCCAAACTCATGGCTTTCACTTTTGAATTTCCTAACCCAATGACATTTCTAATATACATTTAGAAATTAAAAATGCTAATGGATCATTGATTGGGAGCATGGCATCTTTAACAGTAGATTCAAAAGTTCATGTTACACAAGAAAGAGCAAATTAAAATGCATTTTACTGATGCTCCAGAAAATGGAAAAAAAAAATGCAAAAGTTTTTATGTTCTTCCGGTTCAACTGTAAGAAATCATATTTCAGTTCCAAATAAAGCAAAGACAACAATTTATTCAGCAACAAGACTTTAGAATGAAAGACCAAACAATAACCATTATGATATAAGCTCTTACCTCACAGGCAATCCAGTTACAGCACATATGGCCTTTTTGGGGTCTGGGTGTAACGATAAATGAAATAAATTAATCAAAATAATATACATAGAGCAAATAAATAGTGGTTAATTAAAAAAAACAAGGCTAGAATCAAAACATAGAAGTTAAAATAGTAGAAAATCGTGCACACTAAGCTGCTAAATGCTTAACATTATGCGCATATTTAGAGAATCATGTAACAAGAAGTTCTCTCCTTGGTTATCCTGATGCAAGACAGCTTTAAGTTAAACTACAATCCGAATTTCTTGAGGGGGGTGGGGGAAGGAGGGGGAGGACTAAACTAGAAGATCCCTAAGCTTCACACCTATGGTTCTTTGACACAAGTATCAAACCTAGTGTTCAACAACAAAGCAATAAGCTGATATTGGTAGATGCCTAGATGGTTTACACGTGTAGTTTAATTGACATTTTCTTCGGTAAGTTTAACACCTGTAAAGATTATATTTATTTTTTAAACTTAACACATATAAAGAAAGATGGCGGACGGAGGACATATATATTTATTTATTTTTGATAAAAAAAGTTTCATTAAAAATACCTTTCATATCCTACATGTTATAAACATAAATTGAAGGACATAAGAAGGAGGAAAAGAGTGCCTTTAACTTTTATTAATGAGAACAATAATACACCTCCACACCTTCATGATTAACTACTAATAACATAACCTTTAATCCATAACTCTGAATACATAACACACCCTCATAACTCCCTTAAAAAGAACAACCAAGGTATAACACCTTTAACCACAACAGAAACCCAAAAATCAACCTATACCAGCTTTTGCTAATTCATCCGCTTCCCAATTTGCATCTCTCAAAATATGCCTTGTGATAATACCCTTCCTTTCCACACGAGTAGTTATATCCCTCACCAAGGATTTGAACAAAGAAGTACTAAGGTCAGGATTTTTAATCCACTTTAGAGCATTAGTAGAATCCGATTCCAAAATAATCCTCTGACTTGGACTATAACCAACTACCTCGATAAAATTCAACTATCTTTTAATAGCCAAAAGCTCTGCGAGTAAAGAAGGACCTCCCCCTACCTTCTCTAAAAATGACCCAAGCATCGAACCATTACCATCCCTAATCAATCCACCTATTCCACCCTTATCCCAACCTTTGACCATTGCACCATCTACATTTACTTTTAAGAACCACATATATATTTATTAAACTCAACACATGGTAATGTGTGTATATATAATCTATCATTTAATATATTTAATAAAATTGACTAGGACATATTTGTATAATTATAGATATAATGAAACAGAAATAAAATTGAATGAAATCCTAATTAAACCTAGTTCAATATTATTATTAATATGTTATTAAATTAATAATTTGTATCTTTATATGTATTATATTTTTATTACCAGTGTTTTTAAAATCATGCAAGGAGATGACATTAGAGAAGAGCAAGATCTAGCTGGCAATGATTCAAGAGAAGATGGAAGTGAAGGAAATTTAGAATTGAACAATAACTTGAATTTATAAAATGAACCATATTAAAATTACTCTTATTTGTTATATTTATTATTTTTAGTACTGATGCTTTGTTTTGATTCACAAACCTTGGGACCAACCATGAAAGAAGCTATTGAGTGCTTAGTGGCTATTTTAAAATCAACGGGAATCTGGATGAACAAACAGTTACACCCTCCCGATCCTTGTTCGTGCAAGAGATTTGAAGCTGTTCAAAGCAGACCTTAACCTAGAAATATTCCCAAGGCTAAGATAGCAATTACTAAAGTTGTGTTGGATGTTAAGAAGCTAGTTGTTAATGAACTCTTTGAGGTTGCATTGAATGAAAGCAGAAACAGTCCCTTGATGTAGTTTGTCGAAGACAGAGAGATGTCTATAGTTGGAAATACAGATAGGAGATTAGCTACAGCAAAGACAGATGGAAGATCTTATATCGAGGTTGAATCAAGAAGTTGCACTAATGCAGTTCTTCGCAACAAATGTTAAGGATTTGAAAGTGGAACTTGAAACCACTATAGAGAATTGTGACGAAAATATGCGACAAGCTGTTTTGTTTGAAAGACAAAGATTTACTTAAATACAACGGGATATGGAGTAACTTTGGAAGCAATGTTTGGAGATGGAATTGAAATCAAAGAATGAACAGGATGAGAAGGCACATGTTGTGTCAGCAAAGTTACTAATAATGGGGAATAGGTTTCAAAGAGCTAATCCAGAAATTTATGCCAAAGTGATGAATGTTCTTGTCAGAGTCGAGTTTTCCAAGCTGGGGAGAATGATGCAGGAGCTTTATCTATTTTATAATATTTTATTAGTTTAGTTTTATTTTATAATATTTATTAATTATAAGACATTTTGTGTCATTTGAAATAGTTATGTGATTAGCATTGGACTATTAGTAAGAGTTCTAATACAACTATTCTGGTAAATAGTAAATAGGACTGTCAGTGAGAATTTTATTATAAATACTATACTAGAGAGTTATTTTTTTATAAGAACAGGGCCTCATTAAAAACCCCCTTCATAACCGTCAAGCTGCGTAGGACTCAACGGCCATTGGAAGGAGGAAAATAGTGCCCAAAATTTTGTTACTAACACATAGAGTACATCCAAGATAAGATCATTTTAAGTACAAAAGTTCCCCACAAAAACACCCAGAGCACTCACCCACCTCACCCAACCAAAACACCCCACATTATCCTATTCCTGACTTAGCTAAACTATATGCTTCCCAATTAAAACATCTCTGAACATGCCTAATAGTCGCATTGTACTCCATTACTCGCTTGGCAATTTCCTTAACCAAATGAACATAAGCAACCAGACTTGCCTCCAGATTGTTAATCCACTTCAAAGCAATAGAAGAATTACTTTCTAAAATAAGACTCCCCTTATCACTCCACTCCTAATCCAAAATCAGACTTAAACCAGCTTGAATTGCTTTAAGCTCGGCAAGAATTGGAGGGCTTGGTCCGAACGCTCCCGAGAAATACCCCAATCGCTTATAATCAGAATCCCTAAGTAGACCACCAATACCACTGCACCTCCAGTCACAACTTACAGCCCTATCCACATTCACTTTAAAAAAACCCAGAGGAGGGGGGCACCACTGTGACTTAGGGAAACTTTCTTCATAGGAAAATGGTGCAAATCAGCCAAAGTTAAGTCTCCCACAAGGCAATATAGAAGAATAGGGAAATTTGAGTTCTTTGCTGAGAACCAGGAAGCCACTCTATACCTAGTCAAAAAGAAAAGATTATTCTGATCCAGCCTACCATTCTCGAACACCATATGATTTCGACATTTCCATACAGTCCACATTATAGCACACGAGACGAATTTCCAAATGTCCAAATCCGGAAGTAGATCAAACCAAGAGTACAGAAAACCCTTGGGATTATTAGACAAAACTGTATATATATTCCAAAACTGTAGAAACCGTACCCAAACCCCCCAAACTACTATGCATAAGAAGAAGTGGCACACCAATTCCAGCTCCAATCCACAGACTGGGCAGAGAGGATCCTCGATCCCTCAAACACCCCGACTCATTAAAACAGTCTTAACATCCAACTTCTGGTGGAACACATGCCACAGAAAAACCTCCACTTTTGGAGGTGCTATACCAACCCAAACAAGCTTCGACCAAGACAAATCTGGATCGGACATGCTTGATACTAAGTTAATGCACGATTTAACCTAATAAACACCCTCCCCGTTTCTTTTCCAAGCAAAACAATCATCCACCTCCAATCCAAGACGAACACTATCCAACAAAGACAATAGCTCAATCCATTGTTCAATTTCTCAATCCAGCAAATTTCGTCTTATTTGGATATCCCAGACCCACCTCTCATGCTTAGGCATCCAAAGTTCGCAATGACCCCATCCTTCTTATCCGACAAGGCGAACAACCTAGAAAATTTTATCTTCAATGGAATGTTGCATAACCAACTATCATGCCAAAATAAAATGGAATTTCCCTTCCCCAGTTGCAGAATAAGGTGATTGCGAAAACACAAGCCAAAAGCATCATTCGTCCAATAGTTATTGATTACTCCTTTCCAAATCCAAGACGCAAGGGGAGGCAGATTATTGTCCAACAAAATCGACCTTGTATCTAAATTGTACTTACAACATACCATCCTCTTTCACCAGGACTCATTTTCAATGCTAAACTTGCAAACCCATTTCTCATATAGAGCCCTATTTATCATATTTAAATCTGTGATACCCAAACCCCCATAATCTTTCTTTTTGCATACTTTCGACCAATTCACCCAGTGGATCCAACTTTTCTATGTCGAGCTCCCCCACAAAAAATTAGCTATTAGTGACTCCAACTTTTTTCGAAAACCAGAAGACAATTTGAGCAAAGAGTGTTAGAGAGAGAGTGAGAGAGAGTCGTAAAGGTCATCAGTCCTCCGATAAGGAATGGACGGCGTTCGTAGATAATATTAGTAAGAGAGTCTCTAGGAGAGCAGTAAGGGAACTTTTCCAATAACAGGGTAGTGTTCTGAGGGTTTACATACCGAGCGTTTCTAACAAACCAAACTGTAGAAATCATACTTTTGCATTTGTTTAGTTCGAAAAGGAGGAAGGCTTGAATAAGGCGATTATGAATGTTAATGGAACAATGATTGATGGGAAGAGATTGTCTGTAGGGGCTGCAAAATACCAGAGTTATCGATCTAGGACTGTTAGAGAGGAAGAAGAAAAGTACAACAAGGGAGAGGAATGAAAAAGAAGAGAGACAACAGAGTCTTTTTCTCGCCTGAGGGATGAAAGGATATATAAGGAAGCCCTAGTCTCTAATGGAAGGCTGGAGGATGAACCAGTGATAATTTAAAATAGAAGGAGGCGTATGAGAATGGACTCCCGAAAAAAAATGTGTTGGATATGTACATTCCTTCTTACGAATCAGATTGGGATAAAAGATCCTTAACAGGGATTATTAAACCTCTTTTTAACTTGGATCTAGTTCAAAAGGGTCTGCTTAGTGATGGGATCA